CTGTCCTGGAACTCACTATGTAGACCAGGCTGGCCTTGAACTCACAGAGATCCATCCGCCTGCCTCTGCCTCTGCCTCCCTAGTGCTGGGATTACAGGCGTGTGCCACCACACCTGGCTCTCTTTTCCTTTTAAAAAATAATGAACAGACATTTAGTTGGCTCATGGTTCTAGAGACTAGAAAGTTCAAATTCTCCATGGACAGAATATATATTCAGTCAAGTTAATTAACATAGCTGTTATCTTACCACATTATTGTACTGTGTGGACACCACTAAAAGTCCATTTTAGCAATCTGAAGTATGCACCTGTGATCCCAGTGCACTGCAGTGGCCACTCAAGCTTATTATTCTAGATAACTGAAACTTTTTTTAAAAGTGATTTTATTTTTTAATTTTTATTTTTTATGTGTAGGAGTGTATCACCTACATGTATGAGTGCACCCGTGTTGTGCAATGCTGCGGAGGTCAGAAGAGGGCTTCAGATTCCCCTGGAACTGGAGTTAAGGACAGCTCGTAGCCGCCATGTGGGTGCTGGGAATCGAACCTGGGTCCTCTGCAAGAGCAGGCAGTGCTCTTAACTGCTGAGCCATCTCTCCAGCCCGATAACTCAAACTTTGAGTCCCTTCCACACTCTTTTGATTGGTCCTGGGGATGGAACCCAGATCCCTGTGCATGCTAGGCAGGTACCCCAGCACTGAGCTACATTACATCTTCGGACCTTATTTTACTTTGAGACGGGGTCTTGCTATATGCCTTAGTCTGGCACTGAAACTGGGCTCCTTATACAGCTATCACCTTCCAAGTAGCCAGGCTTTATGTCAGTTTTAATTGACCTTTTAGATGTTACATAAAACACTCCCTGACATGTATAGAAAATCGGGGCTGTTGGCTGCTCTTGCAGAGGACCCAGGTTTGGTCCCCAGCACCCACATGGTGGCTAACAACTGTCTGTTCCAGGGGATCTGATGCCCTCTTCTGACCTCCATGGGCACTGCATGACATGCGTGCACTTACATACATGCAAGCAATACACTCATACAGAAAATAAAAATAATAAAGTATTTTTTTTAAAAAAAGAAAATCAGAACACCAAGGTAAGCAAAACTAAAATACATTACACGTTTATTCCTTCTCCATGGTAATATGTGAAGTGTGGGGGCACAGGGTTTTAAGCCAAAATGAGGTTATTGCTTTGGTCATTCAAAGGCTTGCACTCCCTTATTTTAGCAGAAATACGTCTCATCTAATTCTAAATCTTTCTCAAAATTTCCCCCAAATATCCAAAAGTACCCTTTCACTGACTTTCCCTGATGAGTATCTGACTCAGGGCCATGGCCCACTCTTACTTCATGAAATCACAGTCTTTCTTTTTACACCCAATGATTTTTCAAATTTCAAATTTACAGAAAAACACAGTATGCTTTGATAGTCTGTCATGTTCTCTGTCCTCTTCAGTGACTTGAAGTTTCATTCAGGTGAAATATATATATATGTTTCCCCCTTGGCTTTGGTCTTTTGTTACTTTGGCAGATTGCTTTGCATTTTTGATATATCTGTTTCCATATGATTGGATTCCATTAAATGGGAATCAGTGACTGACATGTGCCTTCTCAGTGCCATTATCAAGGATGCCAAACCTGATCACTTTGGCTAAGGTAAAACCTGTCAGATTTCTCCATTGTAAAAAGAAAATTTGGCTGTGCAGAATAACTTTTTTCTACATTTAAGAAGCCTTAATTCAGGACCGAAGAGATGATTTAGCAGGTAAGAGCATTAGCTGTTCTTGCAGAGGACCAACATTTGGCCCAGCACCCACATAGTGGCTAACAACTGTCTTTAACGTCAGTTCCAGGGAAACCAGTGTCTTCTTTTGGACTCCATGGGCATTACAACCAGGGACACACTTACATACACTCATACAAATGAGGCAAAACACTCATACACATAAAATAAAAATAAATAAATTAAGAACCATTAATTTGCTGCTGGTAGGAATGTTAACTTCTGCAGACACAGGTATGGAAATGCATATGACCCTGCTATACCACTGTAGGGTATATACTGTAGAGATATTTGCACATTCATGTCTATTGCTGCACTATTCACAACAGCCAGGAGATGGAACAAAGAACATGACAAGGCACATGCCTGAAAATGCCATAATAAAACCTATTACTTTGTATAGCAACCTAACTTTTTATTTTATTTTATGTGTATGCATGTATTGCCTGCATGTACACAAGTGCACCCATGTCATGCAATGCCCGAGGAGGACAGAAGAGGTCATCAGATCCCCTGGAACTGAAGTTACGGACAGTTGTTAGCTGCCATGTGGGGGCTGGGATTCAAACCTGGGTCTTTTGCAAGAACAGTCAGTGTTCTTAACCTCTGAGCCACCTCTTCAGCCCATTCTTTTCTTTTTAAAATCAAGGTCTCATAGCCCAGGTTGGCCTCAAAGCCCAGGTTGGCCTCAAACTGGAGATGTGAAGATGACTTTGAACTTCTGTTCCTCCTGCCTCCACCTCCAGAGCCCTAGAATCACAGGAATACAGCACTAAGGAACTTTATGCAGTGCTGGGGATCAAACACAGGGCTTTGTGCAAGCTAGGCAAGTCCTCTACCAACTGAGCTATACAATGTTCCACCAACATTCTAATGCAAACAAGAGATATGACCTCTTTTTATTAAAAAAAAAGATGGAAATTATTGTCGATTGTATTACAGGAAAAAACAAATCAGATAACAAACTCTAGTACGATTTTACTAGTAAACAGTTAAAATATAACTGAAGCCAGGTATGGTAGTGCATATCTTTTAATCC